GTGGCTCGTCATCCCACCTCTCCCCCATCCACCATGATTAGATGCGGTGGAGATTGGGAGGAGACATGGCAGCTTTGAAGATGGGGAAGGATGATGCACATCACTGGCGAGGAGGGGGTGAAGGAAGCGGTGATGGGATTGGGGAGGAGGAGGCAAGCGGCGGCGGCAAAAACGTCGGCGGTAGGATGTCTCGGCATCCTAGGAGTGGGGCGACGCAACAACGGGGGAAGGGGAATCACATAGGGGTGGGCAGAAAAAGACCGAACCGAAAAGACCAAGACCGAGACCGAGAAATTCGGTCCTAGGCAGTGAAGGACCGAATTTTGTTCGGTCAATTTGGTTAGTCTCCTCGGTTAACCGAATAGACCGAAAAGACCGAATTAACAAAAAAATGTCTAAATGCAACCTACAGTCCACTATGTTCAATAGGATTAAACTCTAATTTTTACATCCTTACTTCTTCTAGGCATGCAACCTAATAAGTGTCTTTCCTCATAAGTGCTTACGATTTTTTTGTGTGATTTTTGTGTTGAAAATTTCCATTATTTATTTGCATATATGAAAATATTGTTGAATTTCGGTCAGGACTGAGACCGAGACCGAATTTGTCGATCCTGACTTTTGCGTTGAAATTCGGTCTTCACTTTTCAAAGACAGAAAGACCGAAGACCGAGACCGAAATTTTCGGTCAGATCGAATGCCCACCCCTAGAAACACAGATACGGTAAGGTGTGCAGTGGGTAGCAGGGGTGAAAATGAAAAATGGTAAGAATAGGGAGCTGAAAGGATGTTATTGCGAAAGAAGTTTTACGAAGGATCTAGAAGAGGTTTTGCCAATCAATGAATCCGACAGCTCACATCATCTGTTGGGGAAATCGGACGGCTTATAATTTTTTGATGACGTGGCGCTTTGTGGTGGTGAAAAACTTTTGTATTTTCATTACTTTAGATATGTATCTTAGTAGTATGAAACACTAAAAATGATGGTTTGGATTAACTTTTCTCACTCACTTTCTTCATGTTCTCGACCCTAGTCCAAACTTCAAAAGTGCTAAGATATGCGGTGTTAAGTGAAAATATCGGTTTAGTTCTTGTCTATTGTGAAACTTTGGTGAAAAACATGGTCCAACATGAAATTTACTCTTATTATATTGATTGAACTAGGACAGTTGCTGTTAGAATATGTGGTTTGAACGGTATATAATTGTTACGAGAAGTGTTGCCTATATACTACTATATATATACGTATTTGTACAGTGAAGTGAGATAAATATACATGCAAGATGGCAGTCTGAATATATTACATACAAATACACATGTAGGAGAGCAATATGCATGAATATTACATACTCCCTCTGTCTTAGAAAAAAATCCACTTCTAGCTACGAATCTAGATGTAAGGGAGAGTACTGATATGTTAGTGGTGCGATTGCAACACACTTTTTTCCATTAAGCAATTACTAGAATAAAACTTTGGGCTTATTACTTCATGGCAAACAAAACCTTACCAAATTTTGGTAATGCCAAATCTTGGCATTAGCAATTTTTGGTAAGTTAAGGTGTGGATGTAATCGTTTAGTTTGTGACCTTACCAAAGTTTGGTAGAAAATTTGAGAGTGGAAAGTTTCGAAATTACCAAAATTTAGAAAATTTGTGTTGGCAATAACATATTTAGTTTGTAGCCTTACCAAAATCAATGCCAAAATTTAGAAACATTGACAATGGTATCAAAGTGAACTAGCCCGTTGTCTCTTCCTTCGATTTCTTATGTGGGATATCATATCAAAGTGAAATCCGGGGCTACAGAGCCATTCCCTTGACTGTCCAAATAAGAAGCTTTTTACTCTACGAGGAATTGAGAAGAAAAAGAAGAGTTGGCTTAGATGAATCTCCCAAGTGGTTTGAACCCAATTTGGAAGATAAAATGTTGGAGTAGATCTCGGCAAAATTTGGCAAGCCAAACGGAGCCGAGTGACCGTGATCTCCTCATGATTGGTGCGAACCCGAGTCGAGAAGAGAGATGTCGCCGAAGTCGTCAGTGATGAAGTCAAGGCTGCCGAAGCGGTAAGTCTGCCACGGAGGGAAGGCGAAAGCGTCGACTCCTGAAGTAGATCCCATCGTACTTGTTGGCAAAAAAAACTCGACGCGCACCTACCTAGCGCACCAACTATCGATGCTAGCAATCGGCAATATCAAAAGGGGGTAGTGCACAAGAGCTAAAGTAGATGGGTTAGAAAACAAGATTTATTTAGGGACATTTAACTTTTTGCCACTTTTAAGATGAGGCAATTAATTATTTGCCACTCGTTGTCTATGACATGTGGGCCCTCATGTGCCTATGACATGTGGGTCCAGTGGCAATTAATTTATCACCACTCGTAAGAGTGGCGAATATTAATTATTCCGATTTATATAGGTTGAGGCCCTCGTCGAGAGATAATACCATACTCCTATTTAGGGATTTGCATCCATCGAGTGTTCTATTGATCAAATGATCTTGGTTGGATCTTGGTTGTGATTATGCCCTTGAGGGTGCCTCCTACCCGCCTTATATAGGTCGGGGGACAGGATTATAGATAAAAACCTAACTAAACCCTGTAACTATTTGACAATATTCCAGAGTCAGGACTATATGCCGTTTCCCTTTATACTTAAGCAGGAAACGTAATACTTGAGGTTTACATATTTTAAAGATATAAACTATCCCATATAACTAGTTGGATAAACCAGTCATATGGGTACACAATACCCATGATCAGGGGTGGATCCAGCATGGGTGCTAGGGGGACTCGAGTCCCCCCTACCCCGCTAGATTACCCTTGATAGAAGGGGAGATAAAAGAGGAAAAATAGGAAAAAAATAAATAGCATGGGGGGATTGAAGAAGGAAGAAGGAGAGAAGTTCGGGTGTTCCTACTCGGCGCGTGCGCGCCGGCTATAGAAGCAGCGAGCACTAAGGCACCCCTTCTAGGCCCACGTGAAGCGCTAATTACGTAGCCAACACTAATTACAGTAAATTAGGGCTAATTATGGTAATTAGCATAAATAATTTAAAACATAAATATTTAGTTAAAAATTTTAAAAGAATAATTGAAAGTTTTTTTAATTTTTAATTGAAAGTTTTTGAATTTTGAATTGAAAGTTTTTAAATTTGAATTGAAAGCTTTCAAATTTGAGTTGAAAGTTTTCAAATTTTGAGTTGAAAGTTTTCAAATTTGAGTTGAAAGTTTTCAAAATTTGAGATGAAAGTTTTCAAATTTGATATGAAAGTTTTAAAATTTGAATTGAAACTTTTCAAATTTTGAGTTGAAAGTTTTTAAATTTAGGTTGAAAGTTTTTAAATTTTGAGTTGAAAGTTTTCAAATTTGTGTTGGAAGTTTTAAAATTTTGATTTGATTTTTTCAAATTTTAATTTGAAAAGTTTAAATTTGAGTGAAAAGTTTAAATTTAGAGTTGAAAGTTCTTAAATTAGTGTTGAAAGTTTTAAATTTTGAATTCAAAGTCTTAAATTAAATTATATTTCAAAAGAAAAACCAACTAGACCCTAATACATTCTAATTACAGAAAAATAGGAACTAATCAAGACGCTAATTACGTTTTCTAAACGGTGCAATTACATGAAAAAATAATTCAGGACTAATCATATCGCTAATTAAATTTTCTGATACGGCTTAATTAAAAAGGTCGGAAGTAATCATGCTGCTAATCACGTTTCCTTAGTCTCGAATTCTGGTCTTGACTCGTAACGTGTTGGTTTGAGGAGGCACGCGTGCGCCGGCGCCGCGCGCTGAGCCTTATCGGCCTGAAATGTGCGCCGCCGGCGCGCGCTAACTAGCTTTTTCTGAGAAGTTCCCTTTAAATCTTGTTGCGGATCTGCCCCTGCCCATGATGTCTACGGGGACATGAGGAGGCCGGCAAGATCATGGTACGAGGATATGGGGTGCGGCCAGTACAGTGGTGGACGACAACCTTCACTTGTCGCACACGTCGATGTTTGACGACGATTGGGAGGAGGAGACGGCGTCGGCAATTATATTGCAGAGCCATCCGGTGAGTTGTGCGGTGAAATCAGGTGTTTTTCAGTTAACAGGTTGGGCAGGTGTGCTATAACTATGGCGTCTGCACTGGGGGAGTAGTTCTGCAGGGAGTGCAGTAACATCGATGAGGATGTGAGAATTGAGATGCAGCTACTGCTTGCTTCTCTAGCCCTTGAATTCCATCTACTACATCGCTCATGAGATGTTGGTGCTGTGCATGTACACAGGGAGCACTTCCAATGCAAAGATTGCGGCATATATATGTGGCTATGTTATAGCTCGCCATCTTAAATTCACTTGAGGTGATCAACTGCTGATATCTCTTTAAAGTGAAAGTACCTATATTAATTTGTAAGCACAGTAACATCTCGATGATATGAAATGTTTTTTTTTTTGCAAGGTAAAAAATGGCTTAAGCCACCTAATAATAACTACAGCTAGTGAAAACCATATTTAATTTTGGAACCAATCCTTTTTTTTATTGATACGTGCTGGTTGCACGTACTCCTTTTTCTTCCAATGCCAAAATAAAAAGAAGTTCAGCATATTATTTGGCTTTTTTAGTCAGTAGTCAGCAGTTTTATTGCATTCTATACAAGCTTAATGTTTTCACTTAATTACTTTTTCAGTATACAAACTTAATGTTGTACTGGGTCATTCTAGGTATCGATTCATAATTCATTTTTTGTATGGCAGACTGGGAGACATCTATTCTCGATCAATTATTAAGATTCAACAGACAAAGCAAGCAAATTCAACTGGTCTTTTAGTGTTGGAAAATTTGACTCCTTGGTTCATGAAAATGCTCAATATTTGTGCTTTTGCATGCTCAATCTGGGTTGATGCGTTGTATGAAGGGGAGCTATGGTAAATTGTCTAATTTTGAAGTCACTCAATTATATGTTTCCTTTTTGTGTGAATCATACACCAATCTCATTATATGTTTAATTGGACATATATCGTGTTTTAACTGTTTTATTTGCATTACCAAATATTGCTGTAGCGTTAGCACATGCATGTTACTAGTTTAGATAGTAAGCATAATATGTACAAGCATACCCAGACAATATTAGTATTCACAATGTAAACATGCTTTACATAATAATCCATGGTGTTTTTGCTACTCCTGAGAAGGTGATAACTCTTCTCCCCTTTATACATATATATATACAGACCATATGCAGAAGTTGATTACCATTGCACCAATTTATCTGATACACGAAGCAGAAGGATAACGATGCATAGGAAAATAATGGCCGTTTCAATGACTGCATCGAAGCCCATCAACCCCACTGCTATCTGCTTAAGAGTTTCACGTCCATGCATCTGTACAACATGAGATTTTTTAGTAAGTTCTCACCCAACAATTTCTAAAGGATGTTGTGCAGTGGAATAGACAAAAAAGAGAGCGGTTTTTAACCTTTTCTAGCACAACAGCAAAACAGAGAGGGGAAACGAAAAGGCAGTACACTTGAATATTTATTTTTCAAAAGAAAAGGAGGGTCAAACTTCAAAAGTTACATCTGTTACCCTTCTTCCTGGTTACTCATGCTTCTACTTAATCGGGGAGTAATGGAGTATCACTAGAAAATAGAAAATAACACTAATATAGTGCTATAAGGAAAGTAGCATAGGGTCAGTAAAACAAATTTGGTTGATACAATCAAGAACATCACAAAGTTGGACAACACCATCACAACTGAGGTGGACCACAAAATGCCAACGTTGTTAGCTTTTTTCCCTCCAAAGGCATCATTTAACATCCAACTCTGAGAAATTTTGAAAAATCTCACTGGAACCATTATCTTCTATTTTATTGACGTTTATTTCTTTGAAAAATTCAATTCAGATTATAAATTATGTGAGTTTAGATTCAAAATTTTATTGCAGATTAGGAAAACAAGATTTTGAAAATGCGCATTCTTATTTTTCATGTACCCCTATATATTCCAAGCATTTTCTTAAAAAAAGTAATTGTCAGAATATGTGGTTAAAAAATGTAAACAAACATTTTTTTTTATCCTAAAATGGAGACATGGACCTGTCATCGGTACTGTTTTGGCATTTTGCATAAATTTGACTCTCAAGTCTCAAGCCAAACGTAAGAAATGTCAGAGGACACTAAAGGTATAACATGCTGATTGTGCCCCTTCAAATGGGGTTGGAAATCGGATTTGATTTTCAGAGTAGGTGCGTTTAGCAGCCAGTGGAGTTGGATGAGTCAAAATCCCATCTCCAGTTCCCAACTCACATTACAAATATACACAGTATTTTCCAACCACATCATCAATAGCTTAGAAAAGAACAGGCCTCACCATCATGACAACTCTCCTCTACATGATGCTATGGCAATTCTTCTTGCCAATAATTGTTTTCTCTCTGCTCCTTTCCTCTAATGCTATAGTGGAAGCTGCACTTTCATCAAACCTTATCCTCATTCCAACGCTTGTCAGCTTCAAGATTACTAGTATGCATATTTCTTGGATATTCAAATATATGTTTACATGTTTATAGAATTGTTTCTGACCCTTTTTAATCAATTTTTTTTCTGTTGTCCAATCATTCCATTCAAACTATTCTTACTCTAGACGTTTGTTACCTTTGTTACCATGTTGCTTCTCCATTATAAGTTGGAAATTCAGATTTTGTTATAATTCTAGAGGGAATTTACATGAAACAATTATATTTGAATAGAATTCATGTCAATTCTATTTAACGTAGAAATGGAATTCATTTACTTATATTCTAGGAGTCAAATATGAAATGGTTGAAGGCTGCGCCACACAGATCTTTTTCCCAAGGGAAAATGATCAAAAGAGGAGAACCATCTATGGAGCTAGTAACTTATAACTCTCATAAAAGCAAATCAAATAAATCTTCAACACATCATACAATAAATGTTAAATTTTCATAATGTATGATGCAAGATAATGTGATAAAAGATACAAAGGAAGAAAGCATACCTCTAAAAGATAATTCTTTTTAATAGGGAAGTTTTGCTCAGCATGTTGGATACAGTAACGCAACATATCCAATACAGACAAGTCAGTTTCGTAGTCATCACATCCTGTGTAGAAGTTACAATGTAGAATACTCATTATACTAAATTTTAAAAAACAATAGGAAAGCAAAGATGCATTACCTGATATATCAAAAATTTGCTGCAGAGGAATGCCAAGCAACTCTACTAACTCATTTCGAACATGCATGCGCTGTTGTGCTGTTAGTCTATCTCCATGAGTGACCACAACAGCAGGCTTATCATCTGCAGTATCATGTGTATCATCACTTGATATATGTTTAGTTGCAGATATAATTTCATAAATGAAAAAATTGTCAGCAGAACATGTTGCCAAGGAAAAGGCATTGAATTATACAAAAGATATATATTAATCAAACCAATAAAATGTGTATGACACAGGTAAAAAATAAATATACACAAATTACAGAAGTGATATATCTCTATAAGTGAAAGGTAAAACCTAAAATGTAACGGTACTGAGCCACATCATTAGGAAAGTATGAGCCATTGGATGCAACAATTGATACCGTACTTGCTGTTGGATGATAGATGAGTGATAAGTCCAAATAAAAGAATGGTGAAAGGTCAAGATTATTCCAGAAACTTCCATGAGCAGACTGAGAGAGGGTGAGAGAAATGAGAGCTCAGAGGAGTCACTTTGGGACACTTCGGACACCAATGCTGTAATTTCACATAAACAGTTCAAGTCGTGCTGTACCAAGAAAATTTTCATGTGTTGCAAAAGGGGACTTAACATGGATGGAAATTAAATGTGCAACAGTTGCCCAGATTGGAAAAGGTGTTGAGCAACTGTGTTCATTTATTCAATTCTTTATGCATTTCCAATAGGACTGCTGAGTGCTGACATGTATGTTGTTATGCTGGGCTGGTAAACTCATGGTTTCACAAAGCAAATCATTTATAGGAATTGATGTGCCAATAAACCTATTATTATCATAGCTAAACACACCCAACAACTGCATAAAGCTGTAAGAATCTTTTTTTAAAAAAAAAAGAGCTGCAAGAATCTTAGCAATTCATACCTCCAAATGACAAGAATGGATACATAAATGTTTTGTGGAGCATATCAATGTAGTTTTTGTTGTTGTTCTCAATTGATTCGAGGACAGAAGCACCATTAACAACAAATATCACAAAGTTGACCTTCCTGGTCTTGCAACGCAGAAAACTGTATTGTCTTCCCATTGACTTGATGTTCTGAATCTTAGAGTAATTATCATTATCCCTGTTTTAAGCATCAGTCTGAATTAATCCAGCTAGTGTAATACTGAGTAGTTAACTTTGCATAGTATTTCCTAAGACTAAGACCAGGTCGAAGAAAATAAAGAAAAATAGACTGAACGCCTAGCAATGCACATTTCAAATGATAAGATAAAAGCAACTCTTCAAATAATTCTTCATGTGCTTCTCAAAGTCTCAAATAAATCTTGTTAAATACATTCAATCTTGGATTAAGAAAGAAGCACGAGGTGACAATAAAAATGATAAGTCAAAGTTAGAACTGTTTGACTGCAGTAATGCCAGGATGCCACATAAAAATTCAAAAGAAATCTTAACTTGTTATATATACTTTATGTCCTGAATGACAAGATGTTGACAATCTCATATCTGTTGTCAGAAACAAACATATACTTGAATCTTGTTCTTTCAGTGTGGAGAACTCAGAGTCCTAGAGTCAGTCAGTCAGCAGATAATACCTTGATCACTACCAGTACGAGGATAAGTAAACAAAGTCCCATCATAGAACAGCCTCATCTTTTCGCTTATGCTTAAGACAAAATTTGAATTTTCAACCTTAAATTTGAAGTTGATTCTGGGGTTTTTTCATTTATTTTTCAGCCTTTACTTTTAAATCGCTAAGAAAATGTATATAAATGTTTTATTCACAAATTATTTTTCGTTTGCAAATATGCCATTATGCCGTTCAGCTTATTCCCTGAATAAGCCAAATGATGGCCCTGGAAATTTCTCCAAACCAAAGTTAAGCAGAGCATTAAAAAAGAGAGGATAATGTATAAAACAAAGCAAGAGCCACCACTTACCACGTGATGATATCTCCATGGCTAAGTCCCTTTGTCATCCATCTTTGCAACATCTTAAAATTGTTTTCATGGTTGTTGGAGAGGCTCCTTGTATCATAAATACATATAGAATTTGAATTCCTAGGAACTCTGTACTCCCGAAGGAAGCTTGTACCGGTTGATTTGGAATTACCTGGACAAGTGGCAAAGGAAACAAAAACAATAAACTGTAGTTGCACAGATCCAAATGAACCAGTCACCCCTGAAATGATAAGACTTACAGGAGACCTGTGCTCGATCTGGTGCATCAGGATCATCATCCTTGTCGAAGACCCGTGTAATTCGGTTCACAAGTGCGCTCTTGCCAGCATCTCTAGGGCCCACCAATAGAAACGTTGTTATATCAGGCAACACATAGTCTCCAGATTTTGTGCCACACACTCCTTCAACCAAGTCCCCAGGTTTATACCTGATTATAGAATGACTAACATTAAAAAAAAAACTCGTTGACAAAAAGATCAGATCTTGACTTATGGTTTATGGCCGAACTTCTTGCTAGTTACTGATTCATCACAGTGTAGTCAGCAATCAGCATATAAGTTTGCTTTACTAATAAATTATTGTCTGGTTGGATGGAGAAAAATTAGCCTTCTCCCAGTTTTTGTGTGTGTGTGTGTGTGTGTGGTGAGGAGAGACATGCACAACTTGCTCATTTCACAGATCTCCACCTTTTTACTAAAACACTTTCAAACTCTAAGATGGAGGCAAACACTGAAGATAGAGTGAAACTTAAATATTTATCCACAGCAATTCAGAGGCAATCCATGCCATCAGACCAGGTTCTTTGGCAAAGACAATAAACCCACGGAAAGATATCCATAGCAGATTATCCGAAAGCTAAGAGGAAAGAATATGTACTAAAAATAATCTTACAAACATCCTCCTAAGTCCTAACAAAGGTTCCAACCGTTTGATTTAATTAAATGAAAGTTATAAATCATCAAGATTCAATTGCAGCGTGACACATCAGTGTTGTACAACGTTTGTAAGAAAAAAATTGTACACATATCATTCCCATTTCCGTGGCCTGTTGGGAAATTCAGAGTCTATAAAAGACCCACAATTTCAAACCCAAGGACTATGATGAAATAGTGATTCCCCTTACACTGATGGTAAAATTTACTATCATAAGCACCATACTCCGAAGCTGTTGATCAAAGCGATCCTTTCTCCAGTAGAATGTATTTGGTACAAATTATAGTTTCAGGATTGATACAATGGTTGCTTCCTTAACCAGAAGCTCCAAACTGTATATCCCATACAAATGCACAATAACCAGCCAATCAGAGAAAATTCAACGAAGTATAGCAGTCTAGTAGATTCTTGTATTGGCCTGGACAACCAAAACAGACAAGGGAGGGGGGAAAAAAACAAGAACCATGACGTCACCTCCTGATGAGTTCTTTCGCCTCCCGCAGAGACCGATCCTGGAGTCGGCCGCCATGGAGGAAGGCCTCCACCTCGGGGTCATCGCAGACGCAGCACCCGTCGGACTCGCCATCGATTGCCGGGGATACGGCCGCGTATTCGGCAAACTCTGCAACCGGAGGTGGTCAAGAATCAAGAAGTGATCGCAAGAGCCCGGAATTGGGACCAAAATCAGGTAATAGCGGAGCGATTACCATGGGGAAGGGGCTCCGATGACGACGACGGGGAGGAGGGGGCGCTGGAGGGGCTGAGATCGCCGCCGCCGCCCATGGATTTTTGCGGAATCGCCGGGTTGGCTTCGACGGCCAGTTCGGGGCTTCGGGGTGGTGAAGACTGAAGAACCCACCGCACAAATGCTTTTAGTTAGGGTGCTTTTGCATATAGGACCTTGTGTTTCCTGGGAAGTTGATTTCCATTTTCTGTTTTACAGCATATTTTTATTATTACAATATAGGAGTATTCTTAATAAAGAAACACTGTCACAACGTTAATGTCGACTTGTAGAGTTAGCAAACATACTTCCAACTTCCCTTTTTATATGACGTTGAACTAACCAACATCAAACAAATAAAATCGGAGGGAGTTTTTTTTTTCTATTTAACAGTGAACTACTTTTTCTTTTACGAGCATAGCCTAACAAAAAATACAGCCGCTATTGTTAGTTTTCTTTGCTTTTAGTTTCCTAAATTAGCCTAGATGCATTTGTCTGGTTATCCAGAATAAATTGCATGACGGGTACAAGAAATTTGCTTGTTGGTGCATTTGAGTAAAATGACTTAAATTTTGAGTGAATCAATGCACAATTTACATCCTTCATTTCAAAATATAAGAATTGCTAGGAGTTTAAGAAACTATAATGTCTCATTAACTGAGATATGGTTGGGCGCCACATGTGAAGAAAATTGAAATTGCGGTGGTTGATGAGACGAGTAATCTAAAATATTTTGGTACACACTTTAATATTTCACATACTAAAATGCTTATATTTTGAAATGGAGGGAGCAGTATTTGACTAAGACTTCCAATTAAGGTCCATTTGATTTGTATATTTATAGGAAAAATATAGGAAGTTTGTAGGATTTATCTTATAGGAAATTTTCCTTTGAGTGTTTAGGATTCCAACAATCCTATATATTCCTATGAAATAACTCAAAATAAGAAGATATTATATGAAAGTGAGCATGAGGGCCAACCTCATAGAAACTTTTGTTTGAGCCTTTATCTTCTCTTCTCTATTTCCAGTGTTTTTCCTACAGTCCCAAACAATCATTTATGTAGTTTTATATATATTATAATCCTATGCTAGCCTAATCTTTTCGCTTATGCTTATATTTATAAGCTAAAATTTAAATTTTTAACATTAAATTTGGAGTTGATTTTAAGATGTTCTTTTCATTATAGTTTCTTTGCTTTTAGATCGTTAAGAAAGAACACATATATAAAAGTTTTATTCATAATTTTTTTTTATCTGCAAATATGCCATTTCACTTTTTCCTCCGATATGCCAATCATGGGGCTATTCCGTACGTTGATCGTACCAGCACATCAGTGGACGTTCTTAGTGATACTAGTCGTTTTTTTTTGGGCATTTACAAATTTGCCACCGGTTTTTTCAATTTTGCAAAGATGCCATTCAAATGACAGTTCTAGTGGTATTTTTGTAATTTTCTAGTGATAGACTTGCAACAACGATTCAAAATAGTGGTAAATTTACAATTAGAAATATAGAAGTTGCTGATAAATATATTTTTCAAGTTTGTAATAATTAAAACTCAATTAATCATACGTTAATACCTCCTCGTTTTGAGTAAAAACACTTAATCTTTATCTTCATCATCATCTACATGAGTTTCAAACACCACCTTGTAATTTTACAAAGGAAAATCAAATATCTTTAAAAAGGTTTTGGGTTAACCGTACAACCTGCGTTACTTACCAAATAATATGATCTAGGCAATACCTAAGAGGATGTTTGACATGAGATATTATTATTTAAAATTATTGTACTTAGGTAGGGCGAGGTTAATGTTTATGGCGCACCATAGAAAATAGAAGTTAGACCTGTTGAAAGGAGAAACATTCTATAGCAATCATACGAGAAAATAAGATGGGTCTAACTGGGTCCTATAGAAAAAAACAAAATGACGAAGGTTCCCCAAGTCAGGCCAACGGCTAGGAAGAAACGGTTCACTGAAATGTGTATTTTGTTTGTGTGAACCGTAAATCATAAAAAGTTATATTTTATTGTCTTATTACCACATTCATTTTTGTTAGATGGTGCTTGTGGCGTGTTTACATGGCAATGGCAAAGGTTTGTTGCGCCGTTAAATTCAAGGGAAAGTAAAACACAATAGAAAATCATAGGAAAGTTCCATAGCGCTTGTGTGACTACTCTGCCAACTTGGCCTGCTGATGTGATCCAATTAACCCTTCGTATTATAAGACTTCTTAGCATTGCCCATATCATAGAGAGATGAATCTAAATATGTTACTAGATTCATTAACATCTCTATGAATGTGGACAATGCTAGGAAGTCTTATAATATGAAGCGGAGGGTGTAATACATTAGGGAAAAAAACAACCGTTCAATAGGCACCAGAAGCTTGGAGCTTTCCCAATAGAACGAAGTACCAACGGTTGGATTGAGCACCCCATATTCCCTCGAGAATGGTCTTGGATGCTTTTGGGCTAGTCTTGCCAACTTTTTTTTCCTTGTATCCTGTGAAGGATCAAGTGAATCATTGGTGCAAGACAAGCTCATCAATTGCTTTACCTCAAGATAATACGTACAGATACAGTGGCTATGTTTACTCGCAGTGTGCTAGCTGAAGCACTTGGCAGTTGGCAGATCATTTTCCATAGCATAGATCTGATGCTAAGCCTAGATAATTTACATATATGGTAATCTGCTGATGGATATGGACAAAAAGAGGATCAGATGATCCTTGCATCAGCCTTACTTTCAGTGATTCTAACTTGCAAAACAAAATCTCCATTCAAGCAGTGAATGATTTCCTTCAAAGGAACTGCTGAAGCCAAGGATTATCAGCTGCATCTTTCTCGAAGTCGGATTTCAGTTTGGTGACGGTTTCTGCGGCCTTGGTGCCATCCATCTCGTCTAGAGGCAATGAGGCCAATTCCTCCAACAAAAGGCGAGCGCGAGCAGCTCCTCTAGTCACATCGTCTGGGCTAAATACCCTCTTGCGTTTTGATCCAACCTGCAAGGGACAATGCTCATTCAGAAAGGGGTTTTAGGTTTTAATGCAGTAGGCTAGGACACCTCATTCTGCCATTCTACCATAGAAGTTCATATGAATTATATACCCTATGGACAAGAATTTTTACAGAAATTCTTCAGACAATCCATCAAAACTCTTATAAATATCTAATCCACAAAGGTTACACTAAGAACTATCACCAAAGGCAAAGAAAAGAATATGAAATTTATTTCTCTAAGGTGGCCACAGTTGTACGGTAAGTAATTATAATTGATATAAGCTAAGCCATGTATTTCAACTTCTAGTTGGAGATACCTCATCTTTTGAATCATCGGAAAAATTGGGCGCAGTTGAAAAATCTTCTAATTCTTCTGCTTTGCTTTTTGCAAGAGCAACAACAGCTTCTGGAAAATTAGCGAATTCTGCAACGTGGATACCAAAGCTTTGGTCACATGCACCGGGTTCAACCTACAGAAAGAGCAGGAATATTTAGGAAGTAGAACATCTGCAAAGGAATTTAGCACATTGCTGATGTTGAGCCATTCATGTTTGTTTTGGCTAGGTACATCCCAAAATTAAGTAAAGAAAAGGTCCCTTGTAACTATATATGGTTGTCAATGACAGGAAATAAATCATCTGCAAGCAGCATACAAAACCAAGAACATGCAGCATATAATAACATGGCCTCTTGTTGTGGCAAATTTTGTTTCTGGAGACAACAACTTTGGGTGACATCAAAAGGACCTTAGAGCATCAACAAAATTCCTGAAAATGCTGGTAGGTTGAGCACTTGAGCTGTTACTTATTATCGTACATGATGTCAGTAAGCATATTTGATTGAAAAATATCCACAAAACCCATTATATTTCATCGACAAGCAAAACACATTCTAGGCCCCTCCGAGCTAATTGGCAATTATGATAATGAAGATTGTAAGAGAAAGAACAGAAAAATATGAACAGCTTCTAGCAAGATTAGGTATCATAGTTGGCTACATTTTGGCTTCAACAGAGTAGACATTAAGTAGCAAAACAGTAGTACAATTTTCAGTAATACAATACTATTAAGTATAATTCTATAATTTTTCACTTTATTGATTAGTTTGTGAGACAAATCTGAAAACCCTCATTAAAATATAGGACACAGATGTTGAAGAAATTAGTTGGATCAAGCAGCATAAAATCTGAAAATCTTTAGCAGACAATCATGCATTCATGCTCCAGTAATTATTGAGAAACCTGGGACAAGATTTCCAAAGAAAAAACTAAAAACACATTAAGGACGAATAGGATTTCAAAAATGTAGTTCTGAATTCGTATCACCAGATACCTTATAAAGCATAGTTAACTTCCGACTTGATGGGTCTATATGTGCACCCACATGGTAATTTGCAATTCCCAAATTTGGAACGTGTTGGTGCTCATCACCACTTTTGTGTCCTAATGCAGTTAATTCATGAAAATGCGTGGCAAACAACGTAGGTGCTCTAGTCACTTCCACAAGATGCTCACAGATAGCCCATGCAAGACCTGATAAAAAGAATATTAATCCAAAATATGGTTGACAACTTGTAGCAACTTAAATTATGAGTATACTGCAGCAGTAGTAAATAGAAAACAACTACTAGCATGATAAAAGCATATTAAATAAGGTTCGTCATATAGTGTACGAGGAGAGCACAGACTAAAGAAGTATGAATATGAACATCCTTTTAAAAAAGGTTATAACACACTGAATAATCCAAAGTCATGCTGTAGTTAGTAGTAACACTGAATATCGAGACAGAAGGGATAACATTTTTGGTCTAACACATGCATCTGACAGATAGTGGGGTGTCTAGATGACTCCAGAAGAAACAAAACTCAAAACATAGTAAAACAAAGGCAAAAGGTGGAACCAAGTAAAGGTGCATGGGACCAACCAAATCCATCATATGTGGAAGTTCCACGCCCCAACTCATCAATAATAATAAGAGACTTGTCCGATGCACCTTTCAAGATGGATGCTGTTTCAAGCATTTCTTGCATAAAGGTTGAAACACCACGTAGCTGTAGACAAAAATGTAAAGTTAAAATTTGCAAATTCAAATTTTGCACAACTATATAATCCACGATTGTTCAAAAGTAACAAGTGCCCATCTTCCTTTAAGAACTAGCCCAACCCTTAAATTAAAATGGAAAACATGAAGTTAAGATTATAGTCATTCCAACACCGTCCCTTGGTCTTTCTCCTGTTCTTCTACTCATGTCCCTCTGCCACTCCAGTGGCTAGTACGTCTCTCCCTATCCTGACCGTTTCTTCTCTGATAATATGATCATTGGTTGGGAATTGAGAAGACCCTGGACGTGAAGATGTCATTATCCTTGGATCATTATGGGCTGAACATTCCAAAAGAAGGCTAGGTAGTGTCGACTTGATTGAGATGAGTGGATAGAGGACTATAGATGAGGCAAACAACCTTGGGAGAGAGATTGTAGATTGATTGTTCTCATTCTTGCCTAATATAGCAATGGCTTTGGTATAAAACTATAAACATGACAGAAGGCAAGCGTTATTACTTTAAATGGAAGATGAAGCAGACTAACCCTATTGCAGGATAAATAGGTATGTACTTTATATATAAAGAGTTAGTTGAAGGGATTCTATTGTAAAGGTGTGATACATCTAGTTCATGTTCTCCATTTCAGTTTATGTGCCTCTTTGATTTGCTACTTCTATACCACCATCTAAAGAAGAGTAGCATAGCATGCCTGCACTGCGCTGCAGAAAGTGTTGAATAAATACGACATACTTTCAAACTTATAAACATATGTATCCTCATATCTAAAAACTGAAAATATATATTTCACATTAGATATACTATACACATGCAAATGGTACAATCCTTAAAGAAGAGAAATGGTGAGGCTCAATACCCTTCAAATGAAAGAATTGCTAAATATAAGTTTGAACATAATTATTAATCATTAAGCCAGCTTACCTGGCAATCACCAGCACCAACACGAGCAAAAATACAATCTCTCACACTAATGCTCGCCCGATCACATGGAACGAACGATCCAACTTGTGCCATCAGGACATTCACACCAACCTGAATATCAAGTAAAAAAGAAAAATCATAATCTGTTAAAATCATGAACTATAATTTGCATGTTGTAGCAGAAGGTAATATGGAGATGGTAAATAATATGAAAACATGATCCCCATTCTCTATCAACATTCAATGTCTATTCACAACGATGAAAACAATGGACGGTTTATTTCAGAAAAGGTTTAGATATAACCATAAAAGATGAAATAGTGGTAATTCCAGCTCCTGACTACCTATTTGAGAAGAAAGCATTCAATAATTTCTGTTCCAGTGAACCATATTTTGTACAAACAAATACAGTTCAGTGAGCAAACACCAGAAATTCTGATTAAAGTTTATTTGCAAACGTAACAGTCTCAGTTGGTCAGCTATTCCATTTAAACAGACTTGTAAGCAATTAAAGAACATTGTGAAGGTCGAAGTTATTTTTACATGCATTATCAGAAACAATATCGTGTACTGATTATACCAGCATGAAATGCAACCATGATTACCAGCCATTACAGATTTACAGACAATGCACCAAGTATTATCCTGCTACCATTAGCACTGAAAAAATAATAGACCACAACCCTAAATAATAATAGCAATAAAATAAGAAGAATGACGTGGAACACCATCATTCCAATACATAACAGAATGAAATTCAAAACTTTTGTGCAACATGTAAAGCAAATGCTTTCGATTGCCATTGATTTTAAATGAGACCACAAATCTTACCTGTCGTATAAAAGTGGACTTTCCACCCATGTTTGGCCCAGTGATGATCTGAAACCAACTTTTTTCTCTCACCTGTTTAGGACCATTTCAACCATTACAACATCAATGACTAAGTTCTGCAACAACCAATATAATCTCATGAAATACTTACCAAAGTGCAATCATTTGGTATAAAGTTAACACCATCTTGGGCCTCCAGACAAGGATGTCTGCTACCTTCTAAAATGATATCTCCTTCCTCCTATATCAAGTTATTAGTACATATTAGATTTGCATTGCCAAATTGAAATTCCATAGCTCACCTTTTTAAACAGTGTTAACTTTCTTACCGATGCTGTGATTTCTGGTCTTACATAAGGAATTGGGGAACTTGTTGCTAAATCAGCAAAACTTTGTAAAACATCCAACTCAGATAGTATCGCAGCAAAGTTTTCAAATACCTGTGACAAGAATTTAAGATTTATCACTGTCATGAAAGGAAAAACAACAGAACCACAAAATCACATAGCTTTTTATATAAATGTACCTCTGAGAAGGAGGCTGAAACTCTTACTACATCATCAACAACCTTTTTCTGACAACTTGTGTACTCACCAAGCAGTGCCTGGTATTGGTCGCCTAACTTTTTAAGCTTGGAGCTTGTGAACTTCACACCATCCTTACGAGTTTCTATGATTATGTAATTGCTAGTGAGTTTCTTCCTAACCTTCTGTTCATCTTTCTTTGAGATTCTGAACACATGGCCAAGCTGCCCTTTTTCTAGCTTCAATTGCTTATCAATAGTAAGATCCAGATCAGCAGCTGTATGCTTGTGCAAATTGTTGATGTGATTTTCAACTTCAGAAAGCTCATCCTTCAGCACAGCCAAATCAGAAGAATATCGGGGAGATATCCTATACTCACCATTCTCAAGTTGATCAAGGTCAATAGCTGTCTCAACAAGAGAAGCAAACCTACCAAACCTATCCTCTGTCAGCCACTCATCTAAAGAATTAAGAAACTTTGTCCTTATCAGCGCAGAAAAACTGCCATCATATTGTTGAAGAACATTCTTGATGTATGAGACTCTAATGCAGGACTGCAAAATCATAGGTTAACAAAGTGAAATTTTGTTTAAGCGAAATGGATTTATGCAAACAACACCCATCTAGACAAGAAGTACTAGGACATCTTTCAACAACAAATGATCGAACAGGTGTGTGTTTACTAGAAGCACACAACAATAGAAGGTGAAAATTTGTTTGAGCAAATGGATTCAAAATGATGGCATATAATGTACATTGAGAAAATGTAGACAGTAAGTACTAAAACAGCTTTCAATAAGAAATGTGCTAAACTGCAAATAGGTTTTTTGTTTTACATGGCATGGCATTTGATGGTGTGAAGCACATGAACATACCCTATTTGGACGTTTCATCCTGATTATGGCATTTGATGCTAGTATGTTTATTAGGAGTTCATGGAAATATTTATTAGTAACACGTGCACAGAAAAGTCCAATGTCTTCTTTTAAATTTGTTATATGAACCTTATAAAGTTATACTATCTGCTAAGAAACAAATATGACTATTCATCTTCATACACTTTCAAGGCAAACAATCATGTTAGGAAACCTCACTAAAAAAATAAGAGTAGGAAGAAGCAAAACCTGGTAGAGCTTGACAACAGGCTGCAGATTGGCTGTTCTCTTCCGCAGAGCATGTGTCAGACGGTCAATGTCCGACATTCTTTTGAGTTGGTACCTAAGTCCCTGACGAAGCTCTGGATCTTCTACGAAAGCCTGAACCATATCTAATCTGTTATTGATTTCATTTACATCTAGCAGAGGTTGTTTCAGCCATCTGTTAAGCAGTCTCTTTCCCATACCTACTGTACAGGTTCTGTTCATCAAACCAAACAAACTGAAGTTCTTGTTTACATCAGTTTTAGCTTCGGCAATATTCAATGCTCGCACAGCAGCAGAATCAAGACGCATGTAGCGGTCCAAACTGTATTTCTCAATTGTGTAATTTCCGTAGTTTGTATCATCTGCTAGCAACTCAGCATATGAAACTAGAGCTCCAAGGGCACCCAATGCATAGTCAAACTGAGATACAAGATCACGAACTGGCTCAACAGGACCTCTGATTATTCTACCAAGATCCTGCACAAGATCTCTGGATTTAAATTCAACCTTCTTTCTTTCAGTTAATAGAACATTGCAGTTAGTGATAGCATCCTGAAGAGGCTTCAAATCTATAGATTTCTCACAATCTGCTGGGAGAAGACACTCCTTGCAACCTAATGCAACAAGGGCTGACTCTACATTTGTGAATCGACTATCTTCGGGAAACTCAGACAACCCAAGCTTCCTGTTTGTCAAATCAACAAAACTAAGACCTACATATAGTTGTCCTTCCTGGAACACAGGAAACAATGCAACAGTTACCGGAGAATCTTGCATGTCATTGTTTGCAAACAGAATATCTTCAAAACTGCCAATATTTCCAGGTGTTCCAGATTTTGTTAACCTCCAACTAGACCCACTTCCCTCATAGAGTTCCAATGTACGGTCTGTCCTCTCTAACAAAAGGTTGCGGGCGATGGTCTCAAACATAGTCTTGCTCACACTGACACTTGAGAGTCCATCAGAGTTGCTACCTAATTGGCGTAAGGCAGACATTGTGTGATAGTATATTTTTGCAATGAATGTGGCATTCTCTCCATGAGCAGTGTAATAATCCTGGTCAAATATTTCAGCATTAGTTTACTGGTCACACTTTTAAGAGCGAAGGCAGTTTTACATAGGATGATAGGAATAAATACTATTGATCAAAAAGAAAAAAAAACTGATCTTTTTTGTTTGAGATGAAGAAACTGATATCAAGCTCAGCAAGAAACTTTGACCATGATTTTTGAACAGTGGATAATACTGAGAACTCCACAACAATTATGAAAGCATGTTGTGAAATAGATCTTACAATGCAATTTTCAACCTACAAGGCATAATAATATAGAAATTGAGTTTGAACAGGTGAGTCAGAGCTGTCAGTATTTGAAAAACAAAGAGAGTATATCTCAACAGTTGTGATTCATTATGAACACAGACTTCATCTGAAAATACAAGGCATTTACTGGAATGAAATGTCGGAATGTCTTTGTGCATGTAATTTATGAAGACCAACACAGACATGTCCATGAACTCAGTAAATGGTGACACAGGTAGAGGTGTGAGAGTGACTTTCGAAGTCTATTTTTTTAGAATACTGTACATTCCACTAATTTGTTAGATAAACATTTGTGAACATTCGGCCATTTTATCAATAAACTGAGAAGATACTAGACGTGACAAATATATTCAAATAATATATAGCCCGAATTTATCAACAAAGCCTATGTCTTATACATTGGCTAATGGTGGCCTAATTTTCCAGTGCATGTAAAGTCTACATGAAACTGAAGCGTAGCATATCATCGGAACTATGATGGAGCTCTGAAACTTTTGTCAAGATAAATCTTAAGTTTCCTTCAAATGACAACTTGAGTTATCCGGAAGGGTAAACTGACACTGACAACTTGGATTGAAAAAAGAAAAAAAAAAACTGTCACTGAAAGCCTGAATAGAGACAAACAATCTACAGTCGTATTAGGGGAAGACAGATATGCACTACTTCTCATAATATTACAATTAATGGAACTAATTCCCCATTAGGTTTGCACAGTGGCTCATCAAGAAAACAAAAGCATCTACATGTATCAGAAGTCAATGTTAACTGCTTACCCGCCGATCGAAGAGACGAATAGCCCTCGAATCCTATACATCCAAAAAAAGAATGAACAGGTTAGGAAAAGAAGCCCCGAAAATTTGTCCAAATAAGGGAAGAAAACAAAAAGGAAAGAGGGAGAAACCAAGGGGAAACGGACGCACCTGCGGCAGTTTCTTGAAGAAAGAGATGAAGCCCTGCGCTTGCCTCGCATCTATTGAACCAAACAACACCAAGTGAGCGAACCAAAGAAAGAAGGAAACGGATCCAAGAACTGAAGCGCACGGACCTAGCTTGAGCTCGGGGAGCTTGCCGCCCTCCGGCAAGAAGTCGTCGCCCTCCATCCCGCCGCAGATCGCCGGGCTGGATCGGGCGAGGTGGTGGCGATGGGGGACGCAGGCGATGTGTTCGACGAAATGCGTAGGTACGCGCGGGCGGGGTGGGGCGGGAAAAGGGTTAGTGTTTTAGGGGGCAGTGGAGAGGATGGCGCGCGCCCAGGTGGGTATTTCGCGGCAAAAAGGAGAAGATTGGGGGGGTTTTGGAGGGTGAGCGACTGATGGGGTGGTGATGGGGTGCGTGCGGTGCGGGAGCCGAGGCGGTCGACAGATTGGCCGGCAGCCCGGCAGCAGTGAGCCTGTGTTCCACGGTCCGGTCCTTTTGGGGCGATGGGCTCATGGCCGATCAACTGCGCAACGCTCCGGTGCAGCCCCGCACGATCAGTTTTTTCTTCTAGTACTCTCTCTATATCTGAACTAATTAAAATATTTGTAATTTTCCTTTCCTCGTAATCTGTTTTTGACCGTCCGCGTAATTTTTTCCACGCGATTTTCTGATCGTACTAATATGTTTTCATCTCATTCATTGCGGTAAGGAGCGGATCAGAAAATTGATTCATTGGTGTTATAACGTATTTACTGGTGTCATAGTATGCTAATTATGCTTATATCTGTTGGAAATATGGTCATAAATCGGCATATTTTAATCTAAAATATTAAGACAATCAACCTGTCTTGTACAATATGAAGTGATCTAGTGATAAAACTAAACATAACCAGGAGCATACTTAAGGTAAAATAAGCATCAACATTGAGACAACGCAATAACATTGCGACTGATAGTTTTAACAAAATGAAAGGCAACAGAAGGATGTTATATACTGTGAAGGTCCCTCCGCTGGATTATGAGGCAGTATTGCATTCGTTGGTGTTGTTGATCAGTGCGCCACCTCCTATTCCTGGCACACCACCTCCTGCCGCACCGGATGCGCCACCACCAGTAGACATGATGCAGAACGAACCGAACGACGATGGAGACGAAGAAGCGAGCGGAGCAGTCGTGCGGAAGCACTCCCTAAAAATCTGATCACCCGCCTAGCCGTGCAGATCTCTGGTGAAGGTGTGGGTTCAGAGGCCCTGCTTGTCCCAATCACTTGTGCGCGCAAGCGATCAAAACCGGGGAAGAACATAACAGAGGCAGCACAGGCACACATACGAGAAACCAGCAACGGAAAGAATTCGTAGAATATCTGATCGTCGGTCTCTGTCTCGTCCTAATAGCACAGCCTTGCGCGCACAAAACCGGGGAAGAACAGAACAGAGGCAGCACAGGCACACATACGAGAAACCAGCAATGGAAAGAATTCATAGAATATCTGATCGTCGGTCTCTGTCTCATCCTAATAGCGCAGCCCGTTACAGAGGTAATCTCGCGGAGTTGAATTCTGAACCATTGCAAAAGGATCGAGAGAGAGAGCCGAGCCGCAGATGCTGCGCGTGCGCACACGCCTCGCCCACGGCCTCGGCCCGGCCCGACGCGCGCGCGCGTGTGGCTTTCCGACCCCCACTCAACGGGTCAACAGGGAGCCTCCAATAACTCCCTCTTTAAGTTGAGGTACTCCACTTTTAATCCCCAAGGTGGCATTATTATCTTTAACATTTATTATGGGCCCATGAGATTTTAATAGAAATAAATCAGGTCTAGCCTATTATTCTAACAATCCCCACCAAATTTCACGGTTCATAAGAAATGTTCTCAAAGTTGAACCTGTTTGATATACCAGTGTTTCGGTGGAGACTGTTAAGTTGAACTTCCACCTAGGAAAAGAGCTACACCAGAGCACAACTGAACAATAGACTATGCCTTGAATTGTCAGTCTTGTGTGATCAGGTTTCATTCAAACCCTTGACTGGTACTGGGCTGCCGTTTGCATCCCCTCTGTTTGGAGCATATAAGTCAAACTCCATGCCCTTTCATGAGTATCTAGAGATCACCCAAATCTCATAGACTGTGACTAGCAGTCGAGCTCATATAGGTGTGTTCCTTCTGAGATGTTCTGCAGGTCAACATCTCTACTTAAGAAAAGCCACTCGGATCACATTAAGCCATAAGCCATCCTACCATGCATAATAGAAGAGAAGTACAACATGGAAATGAGCCCTTTAAGGGTCTCTTCTGTCAGCCACACAATAGTTTGTTTCGCCATCCAAATTCACGGGATCTCCGATCACAATGGACAGGTTTCCACTATTGTGCAACCTTAGATGGGTATCAAGCCTATTTCCCTCAATGCACTGTCTATCACATTACGTGGTAGCCCCTTAGTAAACTGATCTGCCAGCTTTTTAGCCGTCTGGACATAGTCCAATGCTATCACTCCGGAGTTTTTCTGCTTTCTGACAGATTTCAGTCTTCTCTTTACATGCCTAGATGACTTCATGTTGTCCTTCGAACTGTTCACTTTAATAATCACTGTTTGATTATCACAGTTCATCAGGATAGCTGGCACTGGTTTTTCAACCACCGGCAAATCCACCAGGAGTTCACGAAGCCATTCGGCCTCAACTGTCGCAGTATCTAGTGCTGTGAGTTCTGCTTCCATTGTTGACCTCGTTAAGATGGTCTGCTTGCAAGACTTCTAGGAAACAACGCCACCTCCAAGTGTGAACACATATCCACTTGTGCTTTTATCTCATCAGCATCAGATATCCAGTTTGAGTCACTATACCCTTCCAGTACTTTTGGATACCCGGTATAGTGAATTCTATAGCTCATAGTGCCCTTTAGATAGCGCATTACTCTCATCTCTCAGATTTGAAACAAACTGGCTCAGCTTGCTCACAGCAAATGAGATGTCAGGCCTCGTTGCACTAGCCAAGTACATCAATGAACCAATGATTTGGGAGTATCTCAATTGATCCCTTGCTATTCTTCGGCTTTCCTTAATAGCACACTGGGGTCATAATGAGTAGGAGCTGGCTTGCAGTCACTATAGCCAAAGCGACTCAAAACCTTGTCCACATAATGGGATTGCACAAGTGTAATCCCACCCTCATCTCCTCTTAGTAGCTTAATGTTAAAAATAACATCAGCCACTCCTAAATCCTTCATTTCAAGTCTTTTGGACAGAAAGTCCCAAAGATCAATATGTCATCGACATATAAACACAAGATCACTCATTCTCCCCCACCATAGCGATAGTACACACATTTGTCAGCTTCGTTCACAACAAAGCCAGCAGATGTAAGTGTGGTGTCAAACTTCTCATGCCATTGCTTAGGTGCTTGCTTAAGGCCATACAAGGATTTCAACTGTTTACACACCATTCCCTCCTGACCTTCTAGTGCATACCCGTCTGGTTGATCCATATAGATCTCCTCCTCCAGCTCTCCGTTTAGGAATGCTGTCTTAACGTCCATCTAATGGACGAGAAAACCATGAGAGGCTGCCAGAGCAAGTAGTACTCGAATCGTGGTCAAGCGAGCAACTGGTGAGTATGTGTCGAAAAAATCCTCGCCTTCTTTTTGGGTATAACCCTTGGCCACAAGTCTTGTCTTATACTTTTCAATTGTACCATCAGGCCTAAACTTTTTGTTGAAAACCCATTTGCAGGCCTAAGCTTTTTCTTGAAAACCCATTTGCATCCTACAGGCTTGCACCCATATGGACGCTCAACGACTTCACAAGTACCATTAAACATAATTGAGTCTATCTCACTGCGTACCGCTTCCTTTCAGTAGTTAGCGTCAGGAGATGAATATGCCTTTTCTATGGTTCTTGGAGTGTCATCTACGAGGTATACAATGTAGTCATCTCCAAAGGATTGCAACCCTTTGTCTCTTACTCTTTCGAGTATCTATAATGTTATCCTCCTCAGGATTTTCCTCAGGTGTTTGATCATTGTGTTCTATCGGTGCAAAGTGTTCATGGGATAAAACAGGTTCTTGACTAGAAGTGCTAGGTGTATTTTTCATGGGAAATTCATTCTCAAAGAATGTGGAATCTCTGGACTCAGTGATTGTACCAACTCACATGTCGGGTACTCCAAAGTTTATTATTAAGAATCTATAACCCACGCTATGAATAGCATAACCAAGGAACACACAATCTACAGTCTTTGGTCCAAGTTTACGCTTTTTGGCTATAGGTACATTTACCTTGGCCAAACAGCCCCATGTACGTAGGTATGAGAGATTTAATTTCTTCCTTTCCCATTGCTCGAATGGTGTTATTTCCTTATGCTTCATTGGAATTTTATTCAAGACATGACAGGCAGTCAAAATTGCCTCACCCCACCATTCCTTGGGAAGTCCCGCAGTGTCTAACATGGCATTCACCATCTCAGTTAGAGTGCGGTTCTTTCTTTCGGCTACCCCATTTGATTGGGGTGAATAGGGAGACGTCCTCTCATGAATAATTCCAAACTCTTTGCAAAAGGATGTAAACTCATTGGAAAAATACTCTCCACCCCTATCAGACCTCAACCGCTTGATTTTCCTTTCAAGTTGGTTTTCTACCTCAGCTTTATAGATCTTAAAGTAATGCAATGCTTCATCCTTTGTTTTCAATAGATACAAATAGCAAAATCTAGTGCAATCATCTATCAGTGTCATAAAAAATTTCTTTCCCCCTTTAGTCAACACGCCATTCATTTCGCACAGATCGGAATGAACAAGTTCTAGAGGTGCCAAATTCCTCGCCTCAGATGCCTTGTGAGGCTTGCGAGGTTGTTTCAATTGAACACAAGTATGGCACTTGGAACCTTTGACCAAAGTGAATTTTGGAATTAAACTCATGTTAGCCAAGCGCGTCATACAATCGAAATTCACATGACAAAGTCGCGAATGCCACACATTGGACTCATCATTCTCGTTAATATGGTTCACAACGTTATTATTATTACACATGTCATCCAAAGAAATCGGAACAAGCATCCGCTGTCATAACCTTTCCCAATAAAAGTTCCATATTTAGATACGACACATTTATTGGATTCAAACACAAGTCTAAAACCATCTCTACACAGTAGAGAGCCGCTAACTAGATTCTTCTTTATTGAAGGGACATGTTGCACGTTCTTCAGCTGCACGATCTTTCCCGAAGTAAACTTCAGATCGACCGTACCAACACCATGAATAGCCGCAAGCGACCCGTTTCCCATCAACAAGGAGGAACCTCTCCCGACCTGATAAGAAGAAAACAGGGAAATATTAGCACACACATGAATATTAGCACCAGTATCAACCCACCAATCAGGTGAATGAAAAACAGAGAGTACTGTAGGTAAAAATTTACCGTACCCCGATGTTCCTCCGC